ACTATTAGTACTTCCTAGTCCGGCCAGTGTGGCTCAGTGGCTGAGCGTCAACCCTGCACCGTGAGTCGCCAGTTTGATTCCCGGTCAGGGCACATGCCCAGGTTGTGGGCCTGATCCCCAGTGGGGGGGCGTGCAGGCGGTGGCCAATCCATGTTCTCTCTCTCTCTTCCTCTCCCTCCCTCTCTCGAAAATCAATAAAAAAAAAAAATTATAAAAATAATAACTATTAGTACTTCCTAGCAAATGAATGTCCAAATCCTTACTTTAGCAATACTAATCTGACCAAATATACAAGAATGGAGACTAGAAAGTGAATCAACGTGAAATCAAAGTGAAAGAAAGTTAAGAGTCTATTAAAATATTCTAATGAATAATGAAAAACTGAACTCAGCAGAGGGGAAGGAACTCAGCAGGAAGGGATGAAACGGTGTGGCAGTCCTCCGCGGGGCCTCGGGCAGTGGGTGCGCCAGGGCGGGCGCAGGAGGAAGCACACTGAGGTGTGGTCCTGGAAGGAGCACCAACAAGCAGGAACATCAAGAGGAGACGATTTCTAGCCACAGGAAACAATGGTGGATTTCAGGTTGGCCTGAATCTGAAGGACGGTTAGAGTGAACGTGTTTAGCAAACAATTAAAAATATAAAACTGGAAAAAAAAATACGCAGGTCATAACAGCAATCAAGTAAAGAAAAGACGAAATCAGAAAGAGGAAAGAACCAGACTGATATCATATCGCAGAAGACAAAGAAAGGCTCCGCATGGCAAATGCTCAGAGAGAAGGTGGCACTGAGACACTCAGATGCCAGGTCGAATGGTTCACCTTCCGGACAGCGCACTGGTGTCAGGTTCCACAGGTAACACGTGAACGACTGACAAGGACACAGGAGGTTCGTGCTGTAGGACGCTCTTTGCAACGTTGAAGAGGAAAACAGAGTAACAACTTGGTGACAATAAGAATCAAATCAAGAACTTTCCTTTTTACAGATATGAGACGCTTAAGTGAGAACAGAAACATGGCGGGGGGAGAAGAGGATGAAGGGGGATAAATGGTGATGGAAGGAAACTGGACTTGGGGTGGTGAACACACAATATACAGATGATATATTATAGACGTGTACACCTGAAGCCTATATAAATTTATTAACCAATGTCACACCAATAAAGTCAGTAAAAATATATTTTAAAAAAATTAAAAATATGTAAAATTTTGAAAAATATCTGCTGAAGTATCCAAACCAGGATGTCTCAGGTACTAACAGTTCGCCTCTGTTATAGACTATATATTTGTGCCCCCCCCCCCAATTCATAAGTTGAGTGAGCCACAGCAAGCCAGGAGAGGAGCTAGCACCAGAACCCAACTGTGCTGACTCCCTAATCTCATACTTCAAGCCTCTAAAACTGTGAGAAAATAACTACATTTCTGTTACTTAAGCCAAGTGTCCGGTATTTTGTTATAGCGGCCCCAGCAGACTAAGAAACCTTCAAAAGGCATCGCTTGCTTTCTTGTACAAAATATGATCAGCTGGAATCTATCCATGAAACCAAGACAGAAGTAGGAAGAAGTAATGCAACTCAACATTCCCTTGTTCAATCTCGTATACCCCACAACAGCCACAACATTTCTCCATTACAATATGAATAAAAAAAAATAGAAAATTAAGTATCATTAAAATTGCAGATCAAAAAATACATCTGTATATGAGCAATAGATTCCAAAAGGCACAGAGTGAGAAATAAGGAAATATGAAATAAATATTGACCTACTATAACAAGTAGAGATGTCAATACAAAACACTTGGTTTCCTTTTAAAATGAGAAAATTCATCTATCTGATAAAACAGCTCTAAAAATGGTCTAGAAAGTTTAAAATAAATAATTTATAAGTGCCCTGGTCGGTTTGGCTCAGTGGTTAGAGCATCAGCCTGCGGTCCAGAGAGACCCGGGTTCAGTCCCCACTAAGGGCACTGGTTGCAGTATGTCCCTGGCCCTGGTTGGTCGTGCAGGAGGCAGCCACTCCATGTGTCCCTTTCACATCGATGTTTCTCTCTCTCGCTCTCCCTCCAACTCTATCTGAACAAAAAATGAAAAAATGTCCTCGAGTGAGGATAAAAATAAATAAATAATAATAACAATAATTTACAAGTGAACAAATGGCTGTGTGCTAAGTACCAGCTCCCACAGTGAGAAGCTAACATGACGAGAGACCCGCACTGGAGCAGAGTCACCAGCTGCCGTGTCCTCCTCTCGGCTCCAGCGTGTCCGCGTGTCCGCATGTCCCTGACTCCCTGGAGCTCAGTTACCTCACCCACGCTGACCGAGCAGTTTTCTATTCACACAGGTGATAAAATACTGGTGATGGCCAAGTTATTTAAGTTAAACTGCTAACTCAGTTCTGATAAGCTCCTCCCTCTGTGAGTGAGGACTCGTGGCTCTTTCCAAAGAAGGTATTTCAAGGGTTCTCATAAAACAAACACACAGAGAATCCTCACCTTCCTTTCCTAATACCACTAAAATGTTGCTATTACTACCAAGCCAATGGCACGTCTGAATGAGAGTTACTATCACGAGAATATTACTATCCAAACCAAACAGCAAGTTTTCATATGTACCTATCACCTTATTATCCAAAACAAACATCCTAACATCTTAAGCAAACAGCAAAGCAAGCTCTTGTGCACGTACCACAGATCCACAGATCTGGGAGGGGGGATAAAATACAGAACTGTGCACGTACCACAGATCCACAGATCTGGGAGGGGGGATAAAATACAGAATTGTGCACGTACCACAGATCCACAGACCTGGGAGGGGGGATAAAATACAGAATTGTGCACGTACCACAGATCCACAGACCTAGGAAGGGTGATAAAATACAGAATTGTGCACGTACCACAGACCCACAGACCTAGGAAGGGTGATAAAATACAGAATTGTGCACGTACCACAGATCCACAGATCTGGGGGGGGGGGGGATACAGAATTGTGCACGTACCACAGATCCACAGATCTGGGACGGGGGATAAATTAGAGAATTGTGTACATACCATAGATCTAGGAAGGGGAGGGAATAAAATACAGAATCACAGAGACTACTTGAAATGAACAGGGCTATAAAGACAGTGTCCCCATTCCCAAGGGGAGCATAAACCACAGCAAACTCATTACAGAGAACAGAAAAAAGAGTCTCGAGAAACTCAGAAGCTATTTCTTACTTACTTGGAGCCCAACACTTGGGAAGAAAACACAAGCGTGACCTGGGCGTGGCGCATATCTGCCGCTAAGCTACTGTGGAGGGGTCAGCTGCATCGGAAAAGTGCCGTCGCAGACCCAAGTGAAGAGCCATGTGCGTGTCTGACAAAGCAGCTCTTACTCTATAACCCAACACGAGGCCTCATGAGAGTGCAAGTGTCTGACATTATGGGCGAAGTGTCAGGAGATATAAATTATAAAATGTCTTCTAGGGTTAGGAACAAGTTCCTATTTCCTGTCATGTTATCAAGCTGTACCTGGGAAAAGCTTCAATGTGACAGACTTGGCTCTATTAGAAAAGACAGTTTTCCTTTGATGCCAAATTTGGAATCTTCTGCGGGGGGAAAAACCACTTCTTGCTCTTTCAGAGATTTTTTTAAAGTCTTGGTTCCAGGCCCTGCTTCTTTTATGCACTTTTCTCAAAAAAACTAATTAGATGTCAGAACAAGGAAAGATGAAAACTTAAAACTACGCAAAGAAACAGGAAAAATATGTATGAACTTCTCAAATATGGTTTATAGTATCCTTGGAAGACAGGACATAATCTGGAGATACTAGTGTTTCAATCATCTGTTATAAAAGTTAACATTCTGGTTAAACCTGCTCTTTATAAAGATTATTTTTAAAAGGTGCCATTTTGAAATTTTCCCATTCAGAACAAGCTTTGGAAAACTTATCAAAGGCATAGGCAAATTCCTCAAGTTACAAAAATAAAATTCTTTAGGTATTTTTGCTGCTGTGGATAAATTATACAAGAACAGCATTTTCCAGAAGATAGGGAGATTAGAAATAAAGAAACAGCCCGGCTGGTGTGGATCAGTGGTTGAGCGTCGACCCACGCACCGAGAAGTCGCCGGTTTGATTCCTGGTCAGGGCACAGGCCCAGGTTGTGGGCCGATCCCCAGTGGGCGGCATGCAGGAGGCGGCCAGTCAATGTTCTCTCTCGTCGATGTTTCTATCTCTCTCTCCCTCTCTAAAATCAATAAAGAAAAAAAAAGGAGAGAAACAAAACATCTCTTACCCTTTGCAACAGCATGGAGGGACCTGGAGAGCATTATGCTGAGCGAAATAAGCAAGTCAGAGAAAGACAAGTATCACAAGATCTCACTTATCTGTGGACTCTAATGAACAAAGTAAACTGATCAACAGAAAGAGGCATGGAAACATGGGACAGACCAACAAGCCTCAGAGGAAAAGGGGGACAGAAACAGACTGACCAAGGAACTTATACGCACAACCAGTGGACACAGACAACAGTGCAGTGAAGGCTGGGGCTGGACGGAAACCAGGAGGAGGGGGCCAATGGGGGGGACACCTGTCATACTCTCAATAATAAAGATTTCATAATTAGCAGTTTAAAAAAATAAAGAAAAATAAAGAAACCAATAAGAACTGCAAACACACTGCATCACACTGACGCTGTACTTAGAGGGAACGACCGAAGTCCACGCCCTCCCTGCAAACGGCACGGGAAGAAGGTGAAGGGGAAGAAGGTGACAGGAATCCCAGGCGGGTCTACGGAGGGACTCCCTACAGAGATCGTCACCCTCACAGGGCAGAATGAGGGGAGAGGAGCAGCGCGCCCTGCCCCCACTGCACAGTGTTAGTCTCCAGCAGCCGGAGCCCCATCACAGCCACGCCCCGCCCTCCCTGCAGCAGACCCCATGCGGAGCAGACACAGGAGCTGCGGTTATCTCAACGGGAACAGCGTGAAGCAAGCGCAAAGGCCAGGCTTGGCCGCTGACAAGCTTACCGTGCACCTCGGGTCTACTCTCCTCTGAGCTAGACTTTGTCTTCTTGGAGGAGCTATCTGCACAGGAGCGGAGAGAAGGAGAGAGATACGTACATGGAGACCAATGTAAAGGGGAATCCGTGGGGGGAAAGAATGAGTCATGGTCAAATTAAACCGTGCAGACATAAAGCATGAACGTCACAGGCAGCACTGGAGAGGCATGTGCTCAGGGAGCCGGGCCAGGCAGAGACAGGGACCAGTGGCTCCACTCATATGTGGAGTTTAAGGAACAAGCTGAGCCACTGAGCAACAGACAGGCAGACTCAGAGTCAGGGGGCAGCTCTGAGGGTGGAGAGATCGAGAAAAGGAAAAACAGAGGGAACTTGTGGACGTGGACACAGACTGGTGGCGGGGGTGGAGGGACATGAGCGGAGGTGGCAGAGGGCGCCGAGGGACAGAAGGTGATGGAAACAACGAAATAAACAAATTTTAGAAGATTTACCAAAGAAAAGAGAGTGCAAGAGAAGGATGCTCAACCAAACATGCGCACAGACACGCGTGGGCAGTCTGGCGCGGAGGCACGAGAGGCTGTGGGCGCCAGGGGGGCACTGCAGCCTCGGCCAGCCTGCCGCGGCACAGACCACAGAGGGAGCTGGTCCAGCAGGGCCTGACGCTTCCATGAGTGTGTGCGGCCTCATCGGCAAGACAGCAGTCAACACAGAGGCCTCTGAGCGCCATGATGCCAGATCAGGCGTCAGAAATAAAGTTATCTTTTCATGGGCATCCAGAGTTACATGTTACGTACTCCCACCGCCAAAACCTGCTAGGTTGATGGTCGAAGTTTCATTTTTACCTACTATCCAAGATGCAGGTAAATTATTAGCTATTTACTTCCTATTCTTTCCTTCCTAGATAATAAAAATAAAAGCATAAAGCATATCAAACACAAAAAAGTACTTACTCTCTATTAAAAATTAAAAATTTTGTTTCTGCCCTGGCCAGTTTGGCTCAGCGGTTAGAGCGTCGGCCTGCGGTCTGGAGAGACCCGGGTTCGGTTCCCGCTAAGGGCGCGTACCTCGGTTGCAGTTTGTCCCCAGCCCTGGTTGGTCGTACGGGTGGCAGCCACTCGATGTGTCCCTTTCACATCGATGTTTCTCTCTCTCTCTCCCTTCCTCTCTCTCCCTCCCACTCTATCTGTACAAAAAATGGAAAAATATCCTCGGGTGAGGATAAAAATAAATAAATAAATAAAATAATAAAAATAAAAATTTTGTTTCTGAATGAGAACAGCTAAGCACACATGCAGTGTGTGTGCTGTCACTCACGACTGCACAGGTGTGCACAGGGTCACACGTCCGTGCCCAATTATGAAAACAAAATCATCGAGCAATTTTTATAAATTTACATACTTGGTAAATGTGCAAGGAGAAAGAAACAGCCTATATTTTACAAGAGGAGCTCAAACTATATGTATGAATTTTGACTGTGAACAGTCAAAAGTCACTTAACATGGAAACTCCAGGGAAGAGCCACACCACCGAGGCTGAAACACAGCTGAGTTCAGAACACCTCTGACAGAAGACAAAGGGAGCTCTTCCTCTGCTTCCTCTGAAATGGGATGACAATTAACTCTAAAGTTGTATTTATCTACTCCAGACCTAAATTTTTAAATGACTACGGAAATTGGTAGTTGTTATAGACTTGATTTTATGATTGGTTCGTACCCATGATTCATCATCATAATACTAAGTTCTTGGTCTTAACAAAATACCCAATTATGATATAAAAACCATTTCCAACACCATCACTATATTTCCATAAACACCCTTTACAACGATGCTTCCATAGCACTGACATTAGAAATGTTTGCATTTCTCCCGAATGCAAAGGGTTCGCATCATGGAACTGAAGAGGAAGGAGAGCCCTGAACAGAAGTCCTACCTCTGAAACAGGTGTTCCAGGTAGTTATGTAGCTTAAGAAGTTTCTCCTTTCAACATTCTTTGGAAGAACAAGCAGTGTCTTTACCTGTAGGGTCGAAATCGTGGGAGGTGCTGCGCTCCACTTTCTGCTTCTTGTCTGTCGGCGACTCTCGATTCAAAATACTTCCGTGCCTGAATTAAATCAAAGCAATCGAACATTTACTTCCATAAGTCATTAGAATAAAAATGTAATTTAAAATTTTCAAGTGTGTCTTACAAAGAGAAACCAAGAAATCAGTTTACCTTACGCAGTCTCATAAACCTCTCTAATTTGTATTTTTCAATACGTTTTAAAATTCAGTCTGTGCTACGTGTAATAGAGTATTTACTTGGTTACAAAAGGTGCTTAAAAATTATAGAAGTAGTATTCAGCTACCGAGTCTGTTTTATTCTTAGATGTAACTGCTTCAATTCTTTTAGTGATTTTTCAAAGGCTAATCATTATTATTTTCATTCAACAGATAAGAAAATCGTACCTACAAGTAATTTAATATATTTCCCAAAACTATATATACCATGGTCAGGTTCAAAATCACTGTGTAAACACAGCACTGATGTTAGCAGCTGGAAAAACAAAATCTCCAGGACGCTGCACTTACAGCCTGCCCAGTTCTAGCCAGTGATCCCAGCCAGGCCCAGATGACACTGGAGTCACCATCTGACTCATGGCCACCGAACACGCTGATCCCATAAGGTCTGGGCAGTCAGTAAGACCATGACCATGATACATACTCTAGCAATTAATTGAAATGCCAAGATTAACATGGTATCCTGTGTTATGGTGTCACTAAAAATGATAAATGTACTACAGTAAGTAGAAATGACATGTTACCTACATTTTAAATAATATTTATGACAGTTGAGACGAGAGAGATGCTGCAGAACAAGCATTAAGGAAGAGGCACTGAACTCTGAGATACTAATAAATGTGGAGATATGGATATGGGCACAGACATTTGAACATTTTTTCCTTTACTGTCTTAAAGGAAAGACTGATCCAGTTTGCCGAAGTTCCTTTACTAAAAGCAGTCAGTTACCCAGATAATGAAACACATCAAAAACAGGTAATCCATTTACACCCCCTAAACTATTCACAACTGAAAGCAGTCACAATGGATTTTAAAATCAATAATATGCCCTGGCCAGTTTGGCTCAGCAGTTAGAACGTTGACCTGCGGTCTGGAGAGACCCGGGTTGGATTCCCGTTAGTTTGTCCCCAGCCCTGGTTGGGTCGTGTGGGTGGCAACCACTTGATGTGTCCCTTTCACATCGATGTTTCTTTCTCTCTCTCTCTCTCTCCCCCCCTCCCTCCCACTCTATCTGAACAAAAAATGGAAAAATGTTCTCAGGTGAGGATAAAATAAAATAAAATCTGTAATAGAGTCAACAATGAGAATAAACAAATAATAATAAAAAGAGGAGGAAATGGGAAAAAAAGGGAATTAAACCTCTTCATAAGGAGTGACCTTAGGTATCAACTTGCACCAACTTTTAAAATGCTAATATTAAAAACATTGAGAGTGTTATCAAATATGCCATCTTCCAGAAAGAATAGAAACACCTGTTATATATTAAATTTGTAAAGTATTTTGAAATTCTAAACTAAAATCCATGTTTTTCAAAAACCACAAAAATCCACCATACTTTCAAAGGAATGCTTCCAATTAAAATTTAACTTAAATGTATGAAGTACAACTAACAACTTACCTTATAGGTTTTTTTAGGGGAAACCTGAAACAAAATAAAAGAAAAAAAAGGATAAATATAATTATTTCACTTGTCAGACAGTCATTAAATTTATTGCATTCTACTAAAGCAGAATAAAGGATTTAAATTTTATGCTAACTTTCCCAAAGCAATTCAACAAACAGGTGAAGTAAGAAGCAGGACACCATTTTTAATATTTTAAATACGTTGTTAAATCTTAAATTGCAGGTGTAGTTGCCCTCAGCTGTCCCTGAGTATACGTTCTCTTATTTCAAATAGCAACAGCTAAATTTATTGAGGGCTTACTAAATGCTAAGCGCTACTCTAAACTGTTTACATGAATTATCTTAGTCAATCCTAAAAAATAACAACGAAGATATTATTTCTACTTAACAGGTTAAAAAAAGGCAAAGAGAAAAAATCTTACCATTAAAATATTATACTTAGTTTCCCTAGCAAGGAAAAGTTCCTTCTTGCCCATCATCTCTCCTCACCCATTAAAGTGTCTGGGTGCTGGTTACTGCTCTGCCGATCTGTCCACCCTTTAGGGTCAAATCATGAACCTCAATAATTTGTGTTTAGCTTTAACAGCAGAAATCTAGAAAATGTTACCTTTGGAGTAAGATCAGTTATTAAAAATACATTCCTAAAGTAGAAAACAAAAGGTATGTTTTTCTTTCTCGGTTCTGTAAGCTAAAAGAACAAAATCATTTCCCCTTTTAAAAAGCAGTATTACTGGAGGCTTCTTGATGAGAGTTTAATGCTATATAAATGCTAAGCTGAGCCCTAACTGAACTCTCAAATGCCCCCCCTTCCTCTTTTCATTTGTCCTTTTTAGACACTATCTCAACCTGTGGTGTTTTATGTAAGAGTATTTATTCTAAGTAATAAGACAGGGTTTATTGTAAATATCAATAAAATTGGGGTTTTAAGAAGTCTATTAGTAAAGATAGAAACAAATATAAAACAATGATACATGAATTACTACTTTCTTTGGCATGGAGGTGGTTTAGTTAAAGGAGGTAGTTTAAAAAATACACGTTTAATTATAATTCCCTCTAACTCCTATGTAAATCAAAACTGACCCTAAGGAAGACTAAGAATCTAAGACTGCCCCAGTAAGCAGGTACACAGCATGCCGACCCACAAGCAGAGATAAGAACAAGGAAAGGGTTCTGGGACAGGAGAACACTGCTCCCGAGAATACACTGACTGCGAAAGACGAGCAGATCTTCAGAAGTTCCTAAGTAGTCCATCCTTACTTGAGGAGGGAGGGGGCTAGGAACATGTTTATTAATTCACAGATGAATTTAAGAGTTGGAAGAAAAGAAGAATTTCCAACTGAGTTTCCAAAGGACAGCACTGCAGTGAGCAAGCTGGGCCTGGGCCTGGGCCTGGCAGTCATCAAGGAGACCCTGCCCTACCGCTGCTCGTGCCGGCGGGACGGGACCGTGCACGGACGCCGCTCGGGAAGCCCTCCGTCCCCAGACCAGTGATTGAAGACAGTTTCCTGAGCTACTTTCTCCTGCAAGGGATTGAAAAAGGGGGTATAAAAGATGACCAAAATGAAATGAGAAGATGAACATGGACCGCCCTACAGTAATAACTTGGTTATCATAATATACTGACTACATTCATAAAGTACAAATAGAAAACTTTTCTCAAAATATTTTAAAATCACGATACTTTGTCTCTAATCACTAAATTCCACTTTAGATTATGTGGTAAAACAAACATGTATGTCCATATGCATCGCAGTCGCTATAAACGTGACTAATGACGAAAAAGGCCTCCCTGGCTACTTCACTTGTTCCCTCTGCCCCAGCTGAGAACGTCACCCACCATTTTGAGATGGAGATGTAATCAGATAGCTGACACAGGAAGCTAGAACCCCAAAGAAAAGTCTGAGTGATATGAACAGTGTCTATTATAAATACCAGAAAATCAAGAGGTTAAAATTGGTTTTTAGAGTCTGTAGATTTGAGCCACCCACCATGAATGGTCACTAAAAAGACAATGTGTAAAGACGAAGGATCAAATCCCGAAGGCCGTGGGGTGGGGGTGCTAGCTTCTGAATGCAAATGTGGGACTCAATGAGGAAGACTAAAGAGATAAATCAGAAAAGAGAAACAGCTGCCTTAGGGGCCAAGAAAGAAGACAATATGATCAAATGCTGGAAAAATGCAGGTATAAAGGCTAAAAACTGGCCATATTCTAAGCCACAAATTAGCCCAATACTAGGCTGATGAAACAATTCTGGTGTTCAAAACTCTGTATTTTCAAGTCCCTGTCCATTGTGTAGTTAATAATAAAATTGTGACCATCTCCTCTGGTTAGATACTGATGTAGAACCGCTACATCTGAATGCTGATACAAAGTTAGATGCGCCTAATCAAACTGTGTCTGTCTTAAGAAAAATCACAGCAATGACTTACTTGGACATTGAACCAACAATGAACATGTTTGTACACTTATTTATCATATGTGTACGTAAGTATCTTTCCAGATACAAGACAAAATAAAAGTACCAAAATGAAGAACCATAATAAATACAGAAAAAGATGATCAGGAACTTGAACCATTGGTGTAAGGTGACCGGACTCCTTACTTTTGGTGACATATACCAGGGATTTTCAACCGCGTGTCCCAGGTGTTGTTAAAACATGCAGCACCTGACCGTTCTGCCAGGGCCACTGATCTCTTTTCCCTACACTGTCCGACAGAAAACGATAGCAGCCATCCGGGGTGAATGAATGAAAATTAACCTATTTTTTGTCAGATCAACAAAACGCTCTATTTTTTGGTGTCCTGCAGAATTTCAGTCATTAGCCCACGTGTGCCAGGAGGTATAAGGCTGGACACTGCCGACAGGCAGCAGCCCTAGCAGAGGGCGTCGGACGGCACAGCACAGCCCCTTGCTCGGCGGCCGCTCTCAGCTCCCACGGCAGAGCCTGGTGACGGGACACAGAGGCAGCCCCCAATTAACACGTCCATGTGCCTTTAGAGGGGGGTGAGGGACAGGAGAGAGAGAAACTCCATCAGCTGGCTTCCATGTGCACCCTGATGAGCATCGAACCCTCTACCTTCTGTACAGGGTGACGCTCCAACCCGCCAGGCCCACTCCTGTGTGTTATCACCGTGCCAAGGCAAATGCGATTAGGTAATTAAATAACCCTAGCCACGCCCCCCAAATTATATAACAAGAAAACTTCCATTTTTAACCAGGTTTAACTAGCCTACCACATATACACACACATATCTGATTTTATCACTGAAATACAGCCCTTTAAGACAGGTAGACAGAATTTCTTCTGGATTAAAAAAAATCGCAAAGGACGCGCGAGCTGTGTCATCACGTGCTGGATTACAGTGAACAGTCTGATAAAAACGGTTCTCCCTGCACTGACTGTGGTGAGAGAGGAGGTTTCTGACCCGACTGCACCCAGGGAAAGTGTCCAAGAGCAGAAACAGAGACATCAGACTCAACCTCAATTCCTACCTCTCTCTGCTCCAGTTGTAAATAGCCCCCTGGGTTTCGTTGTGATGGAGAATCTGGGCGTCTACATGGCTCCTAATAAGGGATGACTGAAATGAAGGGGAGTTAAGGGCCTTCTACCTACACTGGACAGTGGCCAAGTTTTCATTAGCAGTCAAACAAAGTTAACCACTAAGTTTAGAATTCTCAAAAACCCACTGTAAGATACACCTTGACTTTAGCAATGTCAAAACGCAGGAGCTCTGGCCAGTGTGGCTCAGCAGTAGAGCATCGGCCCGCGGACCAGAGTTGTGGGTTCAATTCCAACCAAGGGCACGTGCCTTGGTTCAGTTCTTCCCCAGCCCTGGTCAAGGTCGTGCGGGAGGCAACCAGTTCATATGTCTCTGTCACACAAATGTCCCACCCCCCACCAAAGATAAAACGGAAAATATCCTCAGGTGAGGAAAAAGAAAAGAAAAGAAAAGAAAAGAAAAGAAAAGAAAAGAAAAGAAGAAAGAAAAGAAAAGAAAGAAAGAAAAGAAAGAAAAGAAAAGAAGAAAAGAAAAGAAAAGATTAAGGCATTCTGTGTCCTGGATGTGAATAAAGTTTTTCATTTATCTATTTCTACAAAATAATTTTAGTATCATGAAGCATAGCACTAATTAAACTACTCTTCTATGAATTGAACCAGCTAGCTCTAGCATTCTATTTTTCACAGAATAACGAAAAGGGCGTTCATAAGCAATACATAAGCTCCCTTAGAGTACAGGTATTTGGGACACAGCGCTGACGTTAGCGGAACTGTCAATTCAATCTTTAGATGCCTGAACAGGAAGATCAACAGAACTAAAAGTAATAAATGACCACTACTACTCCCCTCCCTTGAAAAAACAGTCATAAATCCGTTCAACACCTATAATTTGTAACTTGTCCAGCTTAGTCACTAAGAGAACTAAAACTCATGAAACTATCAAAAGAAAAGTCGGGACGTTATCTGCCTGCGGTGCTGCAGCAGAGGCCAGAGCTGCGACCACGCGGCGCCTGCATCAGAAGCTCGGATCAGCAGCTACAGCTGGCAGGCAACTCACAGAGACGCTTCACGGTGCTGTTAGTGTTAAAACTCTGGGCCTTGCAATAAAATCACAGAACGACAAGGACGAAGGAACTCAGTTCTGGTGTGAAACCCAAAATGATTCACTCAAATGCAATGTACAATTTCAAATTAACCTCTGAAATACAGCTCAGTACATGGCCACTTCTACTGAAAGCTTACACACTCGACACACCTTATAACTTCAGCAAATCAAATGGCAAATTCTAAAATGATTTTAATTCCCTATGCCAGAGCTATTACAAATTGGACAGTGGTTGTTTCTGAACTGGGAAAAGTAGTTCATAATAAAAATAACAGCTTATTAGAGGCTTTCATTTCCTATTGACAAATTGGGACATTATCACTTTTGGGAATATATCCTGTAGGGTTTCTAAAATAACTTCCTTTGAGGTAAAACTATTAAGTTATACAATATTTTCAGACTTTAAACGATTC